TAGTTATTATTTTTTGTTTGCCTGTTTGTTTTCCTTGGCCATGCTCATTGAGCTCCATGTGACATTCTGCATGACACAGTGTCAGGGACTGCAAAAAGAAAAAGAAAGAGGATAAAGAGGCATAGAAAGGGTGAGAGGAGGTAGGACTTATAATGAATTTTGACACTTCACTTTTACATAAAACAAGATTTTTTTTCTCCAGTATTTTATATAAACTTCTAGCTAAGTATTCGATCTGTATTGCAAATAGGATTTATGACCAAATGCCTGAGCTACACATCAAGTGGAAATGTATGTGCCAGGACTAAAATGGGTGTAGAAATCAGAAAGGGACTTCATGCATAAATGGGTTCACACATGCATTCTGTTGAACATATTTCCTGATATGGCTGGCCAATTCATTTTCTTAACCAGAATACATATTTGTAAACTCTGATGTTAGCCACATAACACTTCCATCATAAATAATTACTGCCAAATAATTCTCACCAGCAATCTAACTAATGAGTTTACCTATCTCCCCAATCCCCTACAAGGAATTAAGAAGTAAGAAGAAAATTTGGAGACTCTCTTGACAGTGTCTCCCCTAACCTGTCAGAACTCTGTACTGATATCTATTCTTGTAGAATTCTGCACTCCATATTACCTTCCTTGTTCTCCTGAAGAATTACTGAGGGTAAATTATCTACTATCCCTTATCCCATTAAGAGAAATTGACTTCTTTAGGAAAGCTGGGGGTCTATTAAGATTATAGCCACCTACTCTACTGATCGACTCCTGCAAAAATGTCTTATGCGATAAGAAATGAGAGCGAGAGAGAGAGAAAGAGAGAACTTCCAATATTGTTACCTCCTCATCCACCATTTTTCTCAGACTTTGCTGACTTGATTCCGAGTTAATGAGCCTATTACACGATCACTAATAAAAATGACTAGGGTAGAAATACCGTTTGGATTCTGCCACATATTTGGTTCAAGGAGGAATCGATTTCATCTATATTTAACACATGCTTGTTTTCTGTCTCACTTGTCTTCCCCACAGCCCAGGGCTCACTCTATTTTTTTTTCCATCTGGGAAACTTATCTCCTGAAACACTACCATCAATCAGCCAAAGACACTCTTCCCGACAGAGCGTCTGCCAATTTGACTAAGCACAAGTAGTCACTAGTTTGGGGATGCCTCCCACACTCTCCATAGCCGTGTGTTTTTCTAGCTTGCCTAACCACACAAGAGCAATTTGGGATATTTATACTTACTTCCAGTTTCTATTGAGATAATAGCACTACTTTTACAGAATTGGGCAGAGGGCATGGTATGGAGTCACTATAGTATGCAATGGAAGTTGCACGTGTTGCCTGTCTACCTACTTTGCACATTCTTTTTTTGTTTGTTTTTTGATTTCTGCATTTCCACTTCCTTTTGGTCATCTTTGGCTCAGCGCCTGCCAAAAAACATGAAAATCTAATGCTGACAAGGATGCTTACCCTTTGTCCCCAAAGCCTTGCCCGATTCCTGGCACCACTCCCATCTTGCAGCCCTTTATGTCAATACTACTCCCAATACTTTCAAGCCTCTAAACTGAAATTTTACAGCATGAAAAAAAGGAGACAGAAAAGAGCAAACGCAGGGTCTGCAGAAGCCAAGCCCTCGTAGAAGGGAAGGGGAGGGGGGAGCAGAAGCCAGGCGGCCCCCTCTCCCACAGAGTCTCAGTCGTGAACACACCCACTGGCCACAGCACAAGAGCCCTGTGCGTGGGCACAGGTGGGTCCCAGCCTTTCTGGCTGGATGCAGCTTAAGCACTGAGCCTGAATGAAGACTTTCATTGCTGTTTGCTGTTTTTCTTGGCCAGTAGCCATGGCAAACATTTGCAGGTGGCTTGGCCAGATTTTGACACTTAAATATTTGAGGTTGTGATAAAAATCAGAATATTACTACAATATGGTTCTGTGCAGCCTCAAAAAAATAAAATAAAGTAAAAAAAGCTATCTGCAATTTCAAATGCTCATTTAAAGACACAGTCTCCAGAGGGAACTCATGTTTTAAAATAAGTACTCATTTCCTCTTTCCTGAGCGAAATAAAAGAGTCAACCATCCCCAAATGTTACCACCTAGAGTTTCATATGGAATCCACTGGTGAGATGGGTCGGGTTCTTTCTTGCTGAGTCCCCATGATCATCTGGGCAAGGTTTGGAATGGGTCACATGGAGAAAAATGGAAATGGCAACATGTGTGGATTTGAATCGACATAGTAAGCACAACAGGGAAGACTCTAAAGAAAAGAAAAAGCCTCCCTCAAGCTTGGCAATGAGACAGCATCCTAAAAAGTGACAATTATCTCCTAGAGCACACCAGGAGAGACATACAATACCCTAGGATGAGGAATAAGTGGGAGGAGGGAGTGGATTGAGAGGGTGTCCATACCAGGGAAACACCCCCCTCCATCCAGCATAGTGTCACAGCCTACAAATGTCACCCAAATGTACAGTCCTGGGCCAGCTGGGTAAATTATTGACAGAGTCAGCACTCATCTTAAAATTTAGTGCTAACCCTTAAAAGATTGTTTCATAAAGACCAGCTTTGTACTAACAATGGCTGAATGCTAAGGGCCTCCAAGAGAGTAGTTGGTAGGGGGCAGGGGGCGGGGGAAGAGGAAGGCAGGAGAACTCCAGGGGGGAAGGAATGCTGTAAAACTGCTAGTAAACCCTAGCACATTTTATGTTTTTTCCCCTTGAAAGAAAAATAAAATAATTATAATTAGCTGGCCTAACTGTGAATTGGCTGCGCAAAGCCAAGCCACTAGAGTGAAGAAGTCCTTGGAGATTCAAACACTGTCTTTAATGAATTCCCCAACCTCTTAGTATGTTCTGGGTTCTTGCTTTAGATGGTGGCAACATTTGCTCTTATGGTCGTTTGAGAAGAAAAGAAATCTTTAACGAAGATACTTGCAAACTTAGCACTGGCCTCTTTAAACAAAGCCAACATTCAAACGACCTGATTGATTTTGCTTCTTGAATAGGAAACCAAATGGGCCCACAGAAAACTCACAAAATAGACATTACCCGGGACTCTTGTTTCTTAAGGTGGGTCTTTCCTTGTCACAACCCATCCTGGTAATTTGAGAAATGTGAGACAAGAAACCTCTTCTAGAATGTTCTTTTTTTTGAGTTGGAGTCTCACTCTGTCACCCAGACTGGAGTGCAGTGGCCGCTCCCGGCCACTGGAGCTTTGACCTGCTGGGCTCCAGCGATCCTTCCGCCTCAGCCTTCCGAGTAGCCGGAATTACAGGCGCGTGCTACCATGCCCGGCTGATTTTTTGATTTATTGTAGAGATGAGGTCTCGCTGCCCAGGCGGGTCTCGAACCCGCGGGCTCAGGCAATCCACTCACCTCAGCCTCCCAAAGGTGCGGGATTACGGGCTGAGCCACTGAGCCGGCTTCTAGAACATTCTAGGGAGGAATAAGCAAGTGTTGTCCCAGTGCTCGCAGTTGGCCTGGGATTCTGACAACATTAAAAACAAGGGGGAAGCAGACTCACTGACAAACTGTGGGGCAGCTTCTAACTTTTTTTTAAAGTTACCATATCCAATATTCAACTGAAAATTCAAACTGAATCCTGATTCACGTACCAAACACAGCAAGCTGCCCTTCTTATTTTAACCAGAGAATTCTGGGAACACAGAGCAGCCAGTTCTCAGCATCCAGCAATATAAATTTATCATAGCTCTTTGGCTTAAGTTATTACCTTTTCTTCCTAAAAACCCACATGCTCTTAAATCTTTGATTTCATCTTTACTCTTATGAGGTTGGAAAGAACAGACACCATCCTCATTCTGGGGATAAGGAAGCTGGGCCAGAGACTCTGCATTTCTGAGAAGCTCCCTGGAAATGCCCCGGCTGATCCTCAGACCACACACTGCACAACAAGGGGTTAGAACTATCACATGACACCAAGAAGCAGGGCTCTTTTCATCACATTATAGGGGGTGCTGGGATTCAGTGACAGGATCTTTGTACCAATCTTTCCTCAATGTCTGCAAATGTGTCTAACTTGCATAAATGCGAGGAAAAGAGCCTTCTTTCTTTGTTGTGTCCACTCCCGACATCAGGATGGACAAGGTCAGGGTGGGGAGGGGTGATAAGGAGGTCTTAACAAGAAGGAGAAGTAGGGAAGAATATGACCAAAGGGAAAGAGGACTGTGGGAACGCAGGAGTCTCCTGTTATCTACAGTTTTGCTCTCTGCAGTTTCAGTCAACCTCAGTCCAAACACATTCGATGGAAATTTCCAGAAATAAACAATTCATAAGTTTTAAATTGCACACCGTTCTGAGTAGCATGACGAAATCTCACACTGTCCTGGCCGTCCCCATCCCTCCCTCTGAGGACATGAATCATCCCCTTCTCCAGCGTGTCTGCCCTTTGGACACTCCCAGTCTGGTGGTCCCTTAGTGGCGATCTCAGTCATCAGATGGAAAAAATACACAGTATATATGGGGTTCGGTACTATCTTCAGGCATCCGCTGGGGGTCTTGGAATGTATCCCCCTGAGGATAAGGGGACTACAGCACATAGAAGACACAGGCGATGGGTGTGGAGGATCCCAGGAAGGTAGAGGCCTGCCCCGTTGGGGAGGAGGATGGGCTGGTGCAAGGTCCCTCGGCCATCATTAAGTATTTGTCCTGAGCACAACAATCTGGTCTCCATAACCACCACAGGTTTTCCCACACTCATCGTAAAGTTCACAAATCTTGTCTGAAGAAATGACGACACAGAATGACTTGCTCCTCTGCCACCCTACCCCTATGACCCAAAGTCTAGGATCAAAACAGCTTCCACCAAACAAAGCCTCCCTCTCTCTTCTCCCATCAAAAGTATCACTCGGAGGCACTAGACAATATTATCCAGGAAAACTAATCCATTCGAGCATCAGAAAGAAGGAGAAAGTCCAGAACATTCCCTGAGCTCCAGTCAGGACCCAGAGGCAGCCCTGTAGGTCTCCTTACCCAATCTGCCGGTTGGTGGACGGTGCCTGAGTGATGACAGAGCTGGACTGGGGCGACGGCATGGCTTGCTGAATCACAACGCTGGTGTCGTGGTTGGGCAGCCGGGTGCTGCCAAGCTGGTGAGCTCCGGGCCCCGTCATGGCCCCACCAACCGCATTATGCATCGAGATATTCTGCCCAGAGAAGACACAGGAGAAAGGTCAGAAGGACTCAATGTTTTTTTTCTACACTTAAGCTTTCAAAGGCCAAAATGGGGAATCTGGTCATGTCAACTAAATAGAGAGTTATGGCTTCTGGCAAGCCTTGAGTCCATTCATCTTGCAACCTACAGCTACGAGGAGATGAAAAATAACTACTCACCCTTAGAGTAAAGCATGTGGAAAATGCCTTAACACTTACTTATCACTCTGCTGCCAGCCTGACGTGAGGTTTGTATCTGGATGTTTAGTGCACACCTTTCCGGACATGGTGAGATATTCAGCATTAACAGTATCTGCATAATGAATATTTGTATATCTAACCTTGAATTGTACCCCACATCTTTAAAATTAAGAAAAAAAAAAGAAAATGATTTTTGCAGTCTAGGCATGGTGGCTCATGCCTGTAATTCCAGCACTTTGGGAAACCAAGACAAGAGAACTGCTTGAGCTCAGGAGTTTGAGAGCAGCCCAGGCAACAAAGCAAGATCTTGTCGCTACAAAAAATAAAAACATTACCTGGGTGTGGTGGCACATGCCTGTAGTCCCAGCTATTTGGGAGGCTGAGGTGGAAGGATTGCCTGAGCCCAGGAGTTCAAGGCTGTGGTGAGCTATGATCGTGCCAGAGTACTCTAGCCTGGGTGACAGAGCGAGACCTACTCATAAAAAAATAAAATAAAATGATTTTTGCATAAGTGCGTGATACTTTGATTTAGTGAATAGAGGTTCTGCATCCTCCTTTTTGCATGACAAGCACACTGGATATTTTTCATTTTCAGTCCTATAAGAATGACCAATCATATTTTTTCCAGGAAATTATTATCTTTCCAAATCACAATCTGAGTAGCCATGACACAGCTCAACAACCTGTGAAATGAGGATGGACGGCTGGAATCGATGACAGAGTGTCTGGGATACAATGATCAGAGTGAGAGTTGCCACTCTCTGCTGTATTTCCATAAAATTGACCTCTAACATCATATGGAATAACCAAAGACAGAACAGCGATGGATGCCTGTCTACTTGTTCACTCTCTTTTCCTCTAGAATGTGGAATGCTGGTATTTTCAACTCTATTCCATAGTGCTTGGACCATGTAGTGCATTCAATAAACTTTTATCAACAGTATGAATAAACCAGTGAAGGAACAAATAAGATACCTCAGTCACTTAAGAGACCTAATATCATATATTTACCTCTGACTATTATGAATGGAGGCTCCTTTTACCTTCAAAAGTAACAAAGTATGCAAGATAAAAGTGGTTTAAAAGATAGCTCTTCGTAAAAAAAGAAAGTCATGGGACAACCAGAGGGAATTTATACTGAGCAGAGAAGCCTAATCAGCTCATTGGAACTGAAAGGTGAGAAAGAAATTCAGAACCCAGGAAAGAAAGAGAAAGTGCTTGGCCAAGCAGAGTAACAGGGAGGGGCAGTGAGCAGGCCTCCATGAACACCGACGACGTACAGACTTCAGCCGAAATGGGTGGGGAAATTTGAGAGGTCAGTTGGACAATGGTTTGAGGATGGGAGGAAAAAAACATGGAGTGTCACTAGCAATTTACTAGAGGAAAAATATATATCTGTCTGCGCTGTGGTGTTAGCAAAGAATAAAATAAATGTTACCCAGGAGAACTAGAAGTGGTTCTTTGAAGTTCTTCTGCAAAGAACAGGATTTCCTGCACTATGTGTTAAATGATGGTGATAACATATATGGTATTTGGGGTGGTTGTGTCCATCACATTGCACCTTTCCCAGGTTTCTGATTTCTAAATCCTGACCACACAGTTCGTCAGGAGTCCAGATGGAAACTGGGCACCGAGCTTAGACTGTGAGCTGACTGTGTCATCGTGGGATCCCGAAGGTGGGAACAGGCTTATGTACACACACAGTCCAAAGGCTCCTCTTATACACTGGAAAGTTTCTGCAACGTGGGAAAATACTGTGGTTGAGTAAAATAAGATGAAAGAAAATGGTGATTTGCATTGGGGTGGCACTGAAGAAATATGCTTTAGTTCTTTTTACAGAATCTAGAGTTTTAGAGCATTGGACTAAAAAATCCTAATGAAAGCAAACTTATTTCCCTGGGTCTTAATGAGGTCTTGAAGAAGAAAATAATTATAGGGCTTGTTTTGTCTGTTGCTTAGACCCTCAAAGATACTCAAAATGTGTTATCTTGTACACAGTCACCAACACTTTCAATGACAGATTCAAGGCACCCAATACATTTTGACACTTTTTAGAGTTATTCACTGTGCTGTGCTACCCAAGGTTATCAACAAACTATACAATTTAATTTTTAAGACCCCAATCCCTAAATCCACCAAGAAGAATATAAAATGTATAAATTCTTTGAGTTATCCTGGACATCTCTTTGCTGTCACTCCCATATGCAGTCCCTGAGTCCTACAAATTAAACTAAGCATCTGTCATTTCTGTCTTTCTACCTCTCCTTCCAGCAACCTACCTCCAACTAGCATCATCTCCTTTCTGGGTCTCCTTCCCTTGCTCTGGCTTTCCTTCCTCTTCTTTCCTATAACATAGCCATGGTGATCTTTTCAAAATGCAAAACAGATCACATTCCCCCAAGTCTCCCTCCTAATCCACTAAACCATTGGTGGTGTGGAGGACATCGATAGCACTCTTTGTGTGGCCTCCAAGGCCTGTGTGGGAGCCTTTCTACCTCCAAGCTCAGCTCCCACCACCTCCACTCTTGTGCTCTGTGATTCAACTCACTCTTCTGGATGTTTCCTGCCCTCATTCAGACTGTGCTCCAAACCAGCATTGCAAGTATGCTGGAATATGCTATTTCTAACACCAGTGCTCTTGCCCTAACCCCAACTTCAAATCTCAGATTGACAACACATGAGGACGCTTTCTGTCCCCCGTTCCCCCTGCTCCAGAATGGGCACCATTTCCTTTTCCTTTATAGTACTTTTTGCAAGTTTATAGTTGTTGATTATTTGACTAAATAGCTGTTTCTCCCTGGACTGTAAGCCCAATGACAGTAGGGACTGAATCTGAGTTTACTCCTCATTTAGTTTCCATTGCCTAGCATATCATAGATGCTCAATGAATATTGAATGAATGAGTGAACTATAAGATAGCATTCATAGAATATTCAGTATGATGAAATTTTTTGTTCCCTAGACAAGTTTTGGAAGTGCTAATGTCCTATCTGTTCACCTTGCAGTCTGAAAGTATGCAAACCATTACAGAGTTTTAAATGTTAAGGTATTTGTCCAATTATGGGTTGGAGAAACAGAGAGGATCAGGATTAAGAAGAAAGTCACAGATCTGGTATGAATAATGGAAAACAAACCTTCCAAAAAATATTAAAGGAGCTCTTGAAGGAAGATGCTAAGAGTCAAGCTTCCAATCTTTGCACATTTTGGCTTAAATGATAACGACAACCATCCTTTAAATCACCTTAAAAACCAAAGAAAATTAACTATATTGTAGCATAAAGAACTTGGTTTTACTTCTTCAGAGTAAAGTGTGTTAAAGAAGAAAAAGAAGCAACCCTCACCTCAAAAAAAAAGCTTAACAATGTTCTCTGAAAATCATCAACATAAAAAGTACTCTGTCCCCTCCATCAACACTTTAAAGACATCTCTTCATCTCTGTGCTTTCTAGCAGAGATAGAGACAGCTCCTGAAAGTCATAATCTAACTCTCCAATATTCTCCTCTCTTCCGCACACATAAGATCTGCAAATTTTCCAGCCTTATTCTGTCAGACCCAGAGAGTAATTTCAAAACATTTTGGAAAAATAAACAACCTGGCAAAAGCATTATCATTTCACATTAAGAGAAGATTTTTTTTCTTTAAGCATTGTATAGTGACTCAAACATGAATTTATTCCTAGAGTTCACATTGTCCCAATTATGGGTTCAAAACCTGTCTTCATCGATAAGAGAATAGCATTTTACCTCTGGATAAATTAAATATCCAATTTCAAAAACACAAAGAGGGACTACATCTTGCTGAGTTATTTTTGATAGTACAGGTGGGTAGATTTGAAACTGGTGAAACAGTGTCATCAAAGCAGTGGATGGTTGTCAGTATGCAGGGAAGGCTCAAAGGTGTTCCTCAAAGCTCAGCCTTTGACGTTTTCTTGTTCAACATTTTTATCAACAGCTTGGATGAAGATGCAAAAATCATGCTTGTCAAATCTGCAGTTGACACAAAGTTGGGAAGCATAGCTAATGTTCTGGATAGCAGAATGAGGTTTCCCTTGAGCCAACTGTGTGATCTGGCCTCCAAAAATGCTAACATAAATCTAGGTTGTTTTAGGAGAAGGGAAGTGTCCAGATCAAGAGAAGTAATTATTCCGCTGTAGAATACATGGACTGACCACATTTGGCCACCACATTTGAAGAGGGAAATCGACAAATAGGGAATGAAAGCAACAGAGGCATACAAAATGCATCACAGGAAGAACAGTAGAAGAATCAGGGAATATTTACTCTGAAGACCAGAAGACTTTAAGAGTCATGTTAACTGCCTTCAAATATTTGTGAGATTAGACATAGTCTATGTTGCTCCAGAGGGCATAAATTTAAAAAATGGAATTGTGATGATAAAAGTCAATAATAACCACAGCTGAAGTGCCTGTAAGGAAGCAGGCACTATGGTAGATGCTTTATAAACTGCATCTCTAGTCTTCACAATGACCCTACGAGGCTGGCATTACTTCCCTCATTCTAAGATGCGAAAAATAATAAAATTACTCACCCTTACCAATACTCCACCTCACCTCTGACCTCCCTCACTCCTTATAAGCTGATGCATTCAAAATACAAATTTGGCTGTCAGGACAAACTTACCAATATGTAGGGGCATCCAAAGACAAAACAAGTTACCTTGTAAAGTACCAAGATTCCTGGCATTGGAGTTAAGCCAGGACGAGTGACCATCTGTCTGAGATGTCACCAAAAAGATCCCTGCATCAGCAGGGAGATGGCCCCAGATAACCTCC